CTACTACTATCATATTCAAAACATACTATAATTTTATTCTTTTAATTCTCTTCTTCTTCTTGTTTCTATAGTACATAACATCTATAGTCATCAAAAATTTAGTATAATTCTAAATGTATCTAGTTTATCATTTTATATATTATTAAAAAATAAGCCAATTTTTATATAAATTAGGTTATGGTCTTTTAGAAAATTCGCTTATATTTTGAATTAAATTATAATTTAAAAAGTTATTAGGATTTTAAAATAAGATACATTACTAATAATCGGTCAAATTTTAGACCAACTTTACAGGGGTATTTACATAGGTATATAACTATTTAACTAATAAAAACGTGTGATTTTATCATGTGATAAAGTTATTTTTTCACACAATTACACTGAAATTTTATAAAATGTGTTATTATATAAATTGAACAATAAAAATCTGTATATATGATTTATATTAAAATATTATCTAAAAGTATTTAGTTGCTATTTTATTTTATGTTTAAATAAAAAATGCCACCTCTTTCTAAATAAAAAGAAAATCAAAAAATCAGTCAATCACAAAAAATGGCTAATATTATATTAAAAAAAATATGATATATAAATATAGATGATTATAATTTATTAGATATCTCAATATCAGTTAATGATAATTATATAAATGTAAAAGATTTCCAAACTGAAATAGATGACGCAATTACTGCAGCTTATAAAAATAGTGATAGTGGTAATTAATATATTAATCTTGATTTTGAATTTTTTAATGAAAAATAAAATATGATAAAGATAATGATGAGAATAATACTGATGATTTTACAGAGTTAAAGGAAACTAAATTAATTTGAAAAGAAGATAATCATTTAAAAAATAAAGCGTGAAATATATATACTTATAATTTAAAAAATTCAGATTGTGTGAAAGGAAAATCAATCTATTATGATAAATATAGTTATTCATTCTTTTTTGGATGATTTCTATCATCTCTTAAGGAAAAATTGTATTGTTTCTTTAGAATAATTACACTCATTCAATTAGAATATTACTTTACAGTCCCAAAATTAAGCATTCTTTTCTTATTATAGTAGTGCTTAATTTTTTAAAATAAATTTTCTCCTCTCTGAAGTTGTTAGTGTTTTATTTTTTTTAGTGATCATTAATGAAACTGTGTCCTATTTTTAATGTGATGATCTTGTGTGATAGGATAATTTAGCTGGTTAATATCACAAACTTTACACAAATCTGTTTTAAACCTGTTTTCACCTAATATAAAAAAAATGCCAAAAAAAGTCACAAAAGTTAATAAACGTAAAAAAGCCACTAAAAAAATATTAAATGTAACTGTAACTCTTATTCTCTTAAACAAAAAAAGAAATTATTGATTATACAAACAATATGGCAGAAACAAGATGGTAACACACTTTAAATTTGATGCTACTATAGTTAGTTATTGGATAAAGACAAGTTTAGGTTGAACAACTGAAATAAACCAAGACACAAAGTGAATTGGTTCTGATCAAAAAGTTTTCTATCCTAAGGTTAAAAAAATGTTGTATGATTAGATTATTGAGTAAAGAAAGTAAGGACTGGCAGTAACATATGTAATTATACAAGTTAAATATTCTAAAAGAAGATAATAATATATTAGTAAAGCACTTTAAAATGTCTAATCATTAGGTATCTGCATTTGTGAAAAGATATAAACTGGCTTAGCGGAAGCATACAAAATTTCACAAAATTTTCTACATAGATTAAGAAATCACTAAAAAGGTTTCACCAATTTATTATTCACCTTAGGATTGAAAAATCCTATGAGTTAGATAACATTTTCAATATGGATGAGACGTCTGTATGATTTGATATAATAAGAAATTTCACCATTAATCAGAAAGGTGAAAAGACAGTTCAGATTTGTGCAATAGGTAATGAAAAAACTGGTTTAAAGTTATTCTAGCATATACAGCAGGTGAGAATTTTTGCAAAAGTTTGTGGTAATAGAATTATAAATTTTTTTTAATAATTTTTTTAGTGATTTAAATAATATGTACTTATTTATTTTATTAAATTAAAAATTTGTTATATTATAGATAATACAAAATTACTTCTAATATGTGTTTTCAAGGGAAAATGAATTCCAAAAGGAGAAATAATTCCTTTTGGTATTTTATCTGATTTCAAAAGAACAGATGAATAAATACTGAATTAATAGAAGGTTCAGGATTCTAATGATGATGATTTTTGATTTCTTTAGAGAATATTTAAAGGAATTTGTTAAGTAAAAATTTCAAGATTAGGGTTTTGATCTAGCAGTTATTCTAGGTGGATTGACTAGTATGTTTTAACCCTTAATATTGCAATCAACAAATTTTTTAAAGATAACCTTTATAAGAATAGCATCTCTGGATGGCTAATAGAGATGCTGGACTAACTGCTGGGTAACCTTCGATATGCTAAGATTGGTGATGTGTGTGGATGTGTAAAAAGATCATGGTAGCAAATTTTTGATGAGATAATTATTAATTCTTTTAAAAATTATCATATATCAAATATCTTGGATGATCTAAATATTAGTGATAATGATTTGAAAAATTCTGATAAAGAAAATAAGAATGCAATTATTGATATTAGTGATGACAATAATATAAATTTTAATGAATAGTTGTAATTAGATTATTTTTTATTTCTTTTATTTATAAATTCAATAGTTTTAATAATTTTAATAAATTTACTTATCAATTTAATAATAAATCTTTTATTTTTATTAATAAAATTATAAATTTTTTAAGGGAATGCTTAATTTTGGGATATTTATAAATATAGGAGAGCTTATTTTTAATGGATGCTTAATTTTGGGACTGTATGATATAATTTTCGCAAAAATCAGTTCAATTAATTTTGACCAATAAGGTAAGATACAGTTAATTTATTACAAATTTTGAGTATAACTGAAATTTTATCAAATATTATAAACAAAAGATCTTAGTGTTGAAATAAATGCTAAATTATATATAATATAATAAATGACTATTTATTTTTATAACTTAAGCTAAATTTTTGTAAAATCATATGATGAATTGACTAAATATTTGCTAAAAGATCTTAGTATTAAAATAATGCTAAATTATGTATATGTAACAAATAACTATTGATTTTTATAACTTAAGCTGAATTATTGTCATATCATATGATTGAATCATCTGAATGTTTACTGAAAAGTATTAGTATTAAAAGAAATAATTTTGACTAGTGTAGAGATATTTAAAATCCTAAAATTTAATATCTCTTTATTTAATTAAATAAAAAATTTTAAAATATGTATTTTTGTTTAATATATGAAAGCTTATCAAAAAAATTTTTATGAATTAATGTTAAATATGGATTTATTTTACTAAAAAATCATATTTAACATATAAAGTAAAATTTTAATTTTTTTTTAGATCTTCTTTTTTTCTATTAACAAGTTCCTATATGATAAATTATATTTGCTAATAATAATAAATAAATATAATATCAATAAATATTAAAATTTATAATTTTAAATATCTTATAAAAACTTTGAAAGAATGAGAATAAATGTAATAATTCTACAATTTTCATAAAAAAAATAAATTATAAAGAATTATCTTTATTTTGATTTTTAATATTATTATCATATAAATGTCCTTAAACTATTTTTAGGAAATTTGAATTTCAAGATATATTTGATCTAAACTTTTAATAGGTTTAATTAAGTTTAATTAAGTTTTGAATTTAAAAAAAAGTCATTTTTAAAGATTTCAAAAAAGTTTTTAAATTTTTAAGTTACACATTAAAATAGGTTTTGAATAGCATCATTATTTTAAAAAAACTTAAATAAACAAAATAATAATTAATATAATTACTTACACTTATGAAAGCAAATTTAAATTTCATAATTAAATTATTACAATTTTTCATAGTATACCAACAAAGGTTTTGATGACCTTTTCTTTAATTTTCAAAATTTAATAGCATCTTTTAGAAATTGACCTATTATATGAAACATTGCAAAATACTAGTATATGATATCAATAATATTATAACTTTATAATTAAAATTTTATAAATACTAAAGAAATTAATTAAAGGAGATATAAAAATAAAACTTTAATGAAAGATGAAAGATACGATAAAAATAAATTACATGACACTGCATCAGTTGCTTATTAAACTATCGACTTAAATGGTTAAATGGCTATCAAAAAAATCGTCTGATATTAAACTCAAATTATGATATTTCACGCAATTTTTTTATAGGTAACTTTTTATAGCACACAAGAGTGACCGCAAATTACACGTGATAAAAGAACGAAGCTCCAACTCGAGGATAATCATAACTAACAATATATGGCTTGCTGGGTTCATCTCTTCAAGACGAATAAACTTGGTGCTTTCGACAATAGATTTCAATATTTTGTCGAAATTTCATCGGTAGAAGGTTTCGTGAAATCCAAAGCTAAATTGCTATTTTTATTAATGCATGTTACACGGCAGATGATTCTAAAAAACCAACTAGTAATTATTATTAAAGAATTTACAATCATAATCATATTATATTTTTTTGGATGCTCGATTGTCAATTTTCTTCAAAGATTGACGAGTTGATGGATCGATAGGCGCTAAAACTGCTGCTAACTTAACAATATCGTCTCTGACACTATGATGATTTATTTGTGAAATAAAATATTGTGATTTTTCCACTTGAATACGCACATCATTGCGTAAAATGCATTAATCCTTTGTTTTGTTTTTTTTTAAAAAAAAAAAAAATCGCATAAGCCCAAATCCCTAATAAAAACATGGTGCAACATAAGTACATTATAGATTCCAACTTATCTTGAAATCTGATTGGATTATAAAATTCGATATTTCCTATATATTTCAATAGATTCTCTTGTATCTCCTCACCTTTTCCCAAATTCCCATTCCTAAACAGCCTTTTCGTTTTCCAATTAATTGTTTCCTTTATCCTTTGAATCGTATATCAAATTACAAATAATGTCTGCTGAAGTTGTTGATCCTGCCCCAAAGCGCCACCATAAACGTACCTTCACTGGATACGCGAAACATATCATCAAGAAAGAACAAGCTAAATGGTCAAAAGAAACTTTAGCTTTATGGGAAAAGTATGGCGTTGGAGAGTCCGATGGTTTGTATTTGATCTGATGGAATTAATGATTTGATAATTTGATGAAATATGTTTGGTGACCGTTTTCTCGTGACAGATAAGGAAGCTATTCAAAAATCATTTATTCGTCACGTTACTACAACGCTTGCTAGATCAATGTTCAATATCGATAATTTTAGTGCATATCAAGCAACTGCTCACACGTAAGTTTTTTTTTTTTAAAAAAAAAACTGTAATTTATTAAAAAAAGGATTTAACAGGTTTATAAATGTATTTATAGCGTTCGAGATAGATTAATTCAAAGATGGAATGATACACAACAGGTTAGAACTATTTTTTTTTTTTCAACAAGAATTTCATCAAAATACACAAATTCAATCCGACCAATGAACTTATGATATATGTATATCGTATCTCGCGTGCGAATAGTTGCACAAACTATTAAATCAAACATTAATTTTATTTTAATGATAATTAAATCAGACCTATACTGAAGTCGACCCTAAACGTGTATATTATTTATCTTTGGAATTCTTGTTGGGAAGATCTTTAGATAATGCTCTTCTCAACTTGGGATTAAAAGAAAGTTGTGGAGGTATGTTGTGCATGTGATTATTGTATACGTTTATAACGTGACATCAATAATTTACACGTAATTTTACTCCCCCCCCCCCCCCCCCTCCCCCCTCCCCCCTCCCCCCTCAGAGGGTGTCAAGGAATTAGGTTTCAGGATGGAAGATATTCTCGATCAAGAAGTCGACGCTGCACTCGGTAATGGTGGTCTTGGTCGTCTTGCCGCTTGCTATATGGATTCCTTAGCTTCTTTGGATTATCCTGCTTGGGGTTATGGTCTTAGATACACTTATGGTATCTTTCAACAAAGGTATTGTGTAGACAAATTATATTTTATATTTTAAACTTTTAATTTTATTTTTTTGTTTTGGTGATTTACACAGGTTAAAGGACGGCTATCAAGTCGAATTTCCGGATTATTGGCTTAACTTTGATAATCCATGGGAATTGCCTCGTCTCGATATTGTCATTGATGTTCAATTCTGTGGTTCTGTAAGTCGTTATACTGATGAAAATGAACGCGTTCGACACGTTTGGGAAGGTACTGAAATAGTTCAAGCTATTGCATATGATGTTCCCATTCCAGGTTAGTGATTGTTTACTTTTTAATTTCAGTTTTTACAATAAGTATTTAATAAAATAAATTTTTTAATCAGGATATGGTACCAAGAATTGCATCAATATCCGTCTATGGAGTAGTAAACCAGAACGTCAATTTGATCTTAACCGATTTAACGAAGGTCAATATGAACAGGCTGTCCAAGAACAAATGAAAGCTGAAAACATAACTGCTGTATTGTATCCTAACGACAATCACATGGTTGGCAAGGAATTACGTCTTAAACAACAGTATTTCTGGGTTGCTGCTAGTCTTTACGATATGTAAGAAATTGACTATTTAAACATTCGCGTAACTGATCGAAATATTTATATAATAAGTTTTAATCTATAAATAGCGTTCGTCGTTTCAAAAAATCACAAAGATTATGGACCGAATTCCCTGATCAGGTGAGCTTCGTATAAACAATTTTAAAATTAATATTTATAGTATTTAATCCTTCTTTTTCTTTTTCTTATCTTTCTTTTTGTATTTAGGTTGCCATCCAATTGAATGGTTAGTGAAAGGATTTTCACGAACAAAATGATCTTTTGCTCAATTAATTATTAATGATTGTTTATTAGACACTCATCCAACACTTGCTATTGTCGAACTTCAAAGAATATTGGTCGATCTTGAAGGACTTGACTGGGATGATGCATGGGGCATTGTCACCCGAACATTTGCTTTCACAAATCACACTATTCTTCCCGAAGCTATGGAAAGATGGCCAGTTCCCATGGTGTCATATTTGTTGCCAAGACATATGCAGATCATTTTCGATATCAATTTAGTAAGTAAATCATAATCAGTGTCAGGTCATCTTTAATATGATATAATCGGTTTCTAACTTTCTTGATATTATAACAGTTCTTCTTACAAAAAGTTGAAAAGGCTTATCCAAATGATCGTGAAATGTTAGCCAAATTATCTATTATTGAGGAATCATCACCACAATTCGTGAGGTTAGTTTAGAAGGGATTATTCAATTATTCTATTTTTCAACATTTAATTCATTTTGCATAATTTTCTTTAGAATGGCACATCTTGCTATCGTTGGTAAGTCAAAATTTAATTCGTATTTTCCATAATTACAAGATATTTTTATTTAACTTATCACTATTGATTGTTATTAGGCTCACATCGTGTCAATGGTGTTGCCGAGTTACATTCAAACTTAATCAAGACAACGGTAAAAATAATGATAATAATAATATATTAAATTATTAATGAATATCTTGTTAATGATTCTGATTGGATTCATATTAATTTCATGTAGATTTTCAAAGATTTCGTTGGTTTTTATGGTGATAAAAAATTCGAAAACAAGACAAACGGTATTACTCCTCGCAGGTAACTTTTGATTGATAATTGATTTCATATTTTTTTTTTTTAATTTAACGTATATTCTTATCTTTAGATGGTTACATCAGGCAAATCCTAAATTAAGTAATTTAATAACTGAGGCCTTGGGGAATAAAGATTGGTTAAAGGTAATAATTGAACTATATTACCTAGCTTAATTAAATTGATAAGGTTTTTTTTCACTAATATAATCCTTTTCTTTTAATAATGATCAGAACCTTTACTTATTGAAAGGACTTGAAAAATGTGTTGGTGATAAAACTTTCAGAAAACGTTGGGTTACTGTTAAACATTCAAACAAGGTATGCAATGTTTGAATTTATTTATTATATTTGCATCAATTTAATGTTGAATTTCATAATTTTAGGTTCGTCTGGCTGATTACATCAATAAATGTACTGGAATTAATGTAAATCCAAATGCTTTATTTGACGTTCAAGTTAAAAGAATTCACGAATATAAGAGACAATTTATGAATATCTTGAGGTACGCTCATGTTTATTTTATGAAAATTATTTGATTTAGTAAATTACTAATTTCATCTTTTTTTTATTAGTGTTATTCACCGTTATAATATATTGAAAAAGATGGACACAAAAGAACGAGCCAAAGCTGTTCCTCGAGTTGTCATTTTTGGAGGAAAGGCGGCTCCTGGTAATTAATTTTTTTCCATTTGAAATGATTTACGAAAATTGATTATTAAATTGATATTTTTTTTAAAAAAATCAATAACAAAATTCAAAGGTTATTACATTGCAAAATTGGTGATTAAATTGATAAATAGTGTTGCCCAAGTTGTGAACAAAGACATTTCAATCGAAAACACCTTGAAGGTAAAACATATTCCTACTCTTTGAAACATGATATAATATTTCAATATTTCATGTTTTATATTCATAAATTATTTTATTTTACAGGTTGTTTTTATACCCGATTATAATGTCTCGGTTGCCGAAATTATTATTCCAGCCTCGGACATTTCACAACATATTTCGACAGCCGGTACAGAAGCTTCCGGTACCAGTAACATGAAATTTGTTTTAAATGGAGGTTTAATTCTCGGCACAGTTGACGGTGCTAATATTGAAATTCATGAAGAAATTGGAGACGATAACATTTTCATGTTTGGACATTTGGCTGATAGAGTCGATGACTTGAGACATGCGCATAGGTAAACAAACAAACAATTTTGTTTCTAAAATCCAAAAAAAAAAATTATAACCTTACATTATTTGATAAAGATACCGTAACGTACCAATGGATCCTGCTTTACAAGCGATAGTAAACGACATTGAATCAGGTCACTTTGGTGATTCGCGTATTTTTGCACCTTTAATCAATACACTGACTCACGGTAAAGACTATTATCTAATCTCTGATGATTTCGAGTCTTATCTTAATGCACAAAATTTGGTGGATGAAGCTTATAAAGATCAAGAAGGATGGTCAAAAAAGAGTATCTTGTGTGCTGCAAATATGGGCAAATTCTCATCGTACGTATAGAAATTTGTAATATATAATATATTTTTTTATTTTTTATTAATCAATTTTATTATTATTATATAGTGATCGTGCTATCAAAGAATACGCAGAACAGATATGGTAATTTTTGTTAATTTTTGGTAATAATTATTCTTTTCTTCGCAACATTAAATCGTTAATTCGTTATAATTGTTTAATTTTAGGAATGTTGAACCTGTGACTGTTGAAACTAAACATTGTTAATCTATCTAAGAGAAGAAAGAGAAGATAATTTTTAGCATCGAATTTAGCTTATTTAATTTAACTGTAAATTAATTTCAAATATATATTCGGCATTTGTGAGAATAAATAAATAAATGAATTATTTATTTTTTTGTGAAAAATTACTCGGAAATTTGTAAATCAAATAAATTCTTTTTCGATCAATATATATTATGACTACCTAAGATTGTATTTAAATTTTCAATAAATATTAATTCTTCAAATTTGCAATATAAAATTATAATTTAAGAATATTTTCTTAATTCATAATTATATGTAAAAACTTTTTATTGCTTCTTTACATTACTTTAAGATCATTAAAAAAAATCTCTGAATTTAGAATCATCCATTATATTTTAATTTATCTAAAAAATAATGATGATTATTTATAAATTTGTATTAGACTAAATTGATATAGTTAACTTATTTATTAGTATTACAGTATTACTTAAAATATAAAAGAAAGAAACATTCATTTTATATTAGTTATAACTAAAACATTTTTTGCATTTAATTATATATTAATAAATTAATATTATCATCTAAAAAAATATCTATAAAAACTTTAAAATAATTCTATTTTTTTTTTTTTTTTAGTAAAATAAATCAGTTTTATATACAATTATTTTTTATTATAAATTAATTTATATATAATAATTTGAAATTTATTCTACCTTTATTTTTAATATTATATCTATTTAAATTTATTTAAATTTAATTTAATTGCTGATCTGTATATAATGGATATAAAAAATGTGATGCAATGTTACTATATCAATTGCAGTACATTTCTTCAATTTTGAATAGTAAATGGTGTTATATATAGCACTGATCATTTTGCCAAGTGATTTTCATATGTAATTTCATGCCTTTTTTTATTTTGTTGATAAGCAAGTTGTATAACTTTATTAATTATAAAATTGTTTATTGAGTTGTAACTATTAATTTATCAATAAAAAAACTTGAATAACTTTATAAATCTTACTTTAAAAATAGGCAATTTTGCTTTTAAACTTATAAAATCTTTTAATAAAATTTTTTTATATTAAAAATAAATATTAAACTTTTTTTTTAAAAAAATAAAGATTATTAAATAAATAATGTTTTTGAATATAATTCAACTTTGTATTAATGTTACAAGCTTATCACTATTATAAGTTTTATAAATCTTTTAAAAAATAATCATATTTGATATATTTTTTTCAAATTTCTTTTAAATATATTATTCTGAAATTATTATAATATGTTTTATATACATGTTATAGTAATTATTTTACCAAAAACGTAATACAAAACGTAAGTATAGTCGACCCTCTCTACAATCACGCCTTATATAATCACACTCTTTTTATAAGCACACTATATTTTAGTTCTAATTTTTTTAAAATATAAATACCCTCTTTATCTCTTAGATTGTCTAGCAGGCAAATTTGCCTGCAAAATTAAAAGTAATTGTTAATTTCTTTATAAAATATTAAATATTAATTTTAGTAATATTATTCCTATATAAAAAATATAATTTAATATATATTTTATCAACTTTATTAAAGTTTTTTAAAAGGTTTTTAAAATAATTTAATTATAAAATTAAGTTTCAAAAAATTTATTATAATAAATTTTTAAAAATTCTTTAAAAATTTATATGTTTGCGTACAAATTGAATTACTTTATCATTAATTAAAATCATAAAATTTCTTAATAAATTATAAAAATTATAATAATAAAAGTTTTTCTTTA